CTGTGGTCAGATGGAAAAAGTGCAACAGATTGGCCCAGGTGGAGATTACTCCATCCACACAGTTAAGTGTAGATGGAGGAATCTGTTGCACCTTTTCCATCTGACCATAGAAAATCTGCAGATAAGGTGTATGGCCAGCTTTACAGTGGAACACAACCGTTTCCAGCTGGCCAAGTCACTAAGGGCTAGTTCACACCAGCCACAGTGCGTTTCCTGGCCTGATTCTGGCTGGATTCTTGACCCTTGAAGTGAATGGCACCGCTCCCACGCCCTCTAGCCGCAATGCGAGGCACATCAATGCCTGCGTTCCGGCCAGAAAAAAATAGGATTTTGGTACTCACCGTAAAATCCTTTTCTCTCCGTTCATTGAAGGACACAGGGAACAGGACGGAGCGGCAGGCGCCAGGGGACGTCCGCCACTAAGCGAACCACATCTGCGTACCACGCCCTCCTCGGCCAATCCGGAGCCACGAGGATGACCGAGACGCCTTCCACAGAAGACGCGGCAACAGATACAGTGGAGGGAACGCGTAAATCAGACCGTAGCAATCCCACGGCGCCACCAGGGCGTTCACCGCATCCGCCCAAGGATCCTGGCCACGAACGCCGATTGAAGCGAGACGCCAGGAGATCCACGTCCGGGAATCCCCAGCGAAGACAGAGCTGGTGAAACACCTCCGGATGTAGCATCCATTCCCTCGGGTCCACTGACTGGCGACTGAGATAGTCGGCCTGCCAATTTTCCACGCCCGGAATGCACACGGCTGAGAGAGCCGGAACATGCACCTACGCCCAAGATAGAATTCTTTCCACTTCCCGAGCCGCGGCCACACTTCTTGTGCCGCCCTGATGGTTGACGTACGCCACGGCCGTGGCGTTGTCAGAGGGCCACTGGGCGGCCTGGGAAGGCGTCGGCCTGTTGAACTTCTCGCCCTTCTCAGAGGGCGGAGGTGGACGAAAAAGCCGCTTGTGAGCGGAAAAGGAAGGACCAGGCTTCCGCCGCTGAGGATGTGGGAGAGGTCCCTGAAGAGAGGCCGCAGCCCTCACAGGGCACTGCGGTTAGTTTGTCCCCACAATCCATGTCCCCGGCAAATATATGCCAAACCAGAGCCCCAGGCAAGGAAAGAGACCCCGGCAGGCACCGCCCCCGTCCCTAGGCCTTTTGCCGCAGTTGCCCCTAGCAACAGACCCGCAGGCAGACGACCCTCCTACAGTACCCGAACTCCCGGTGTCCCAGTGCGTCCTCAACCGACCGCGTCCCAGCGTGAAAGACCGATCTGGCCGGGTGACACGCAAGTAAAGGGACCGGGAAGCGGCGCACCGGAAGTGACGTCAGACCGAGGGCGCACGCGCCCACACCAAAGATGGCGGCCGTGGCCTCCGAGAAGGCCGCAAACGAAGCCGGGGGCTCGATTAGCGGCCCCCGCGAACGGAACCGAGCGGCCAGCAGCGCCAGAGGCCCCAAGCCTCCGCCAGCACCAGGACCTCAGCCCGACCCCGAAACACCCCAGGAGCACCACCTCCCCTAGGCTGTGATTGGTCTTTAGTTTTTTTGTGCCTAGCGTCCTTCTCCTGCAGGTGGCGAAATTACACTACAGTACATGATCTCTGATCTGTTCCCTGTGTCCTTCAATGAACGGGAGAGAAAATAGTGCTTGCAGCATTTTTGCTGACCGGACCGCAGGCTTTGATGTGCCTTGTGTTCTTATGGGGCCAATTGCATTGCGGCCGGAGGGCGTGGCTACGGTGCCATTGATTTCAATGCACCGCCAAGCCCCCTCCTGCCCCACAACAAAAAGTGAGACCGGCCGCAATGTGATCCAGTGCGTTCCAGCCAGAATCGGCCGAAACGCATTGTGGCTGGTGTAAACTAGTCCTAATCCTTATGTTGGTGGCTTTCTCCCTTCTGTTATAAGTTCATGGTCGCTTTAGCGACCATGAACTTATATCAGAACTGTCCCCTATAAAATAATAGCTATCAGCGGCTTGCTATTAACCAAAAATATTGGTTTAATATTGATTTGACAAACATTTGCACAGGACCTACAAAATTAGGAGCACCATCTTTTTATTCTACTGGGTCTGTGCTTTCAGAAGATATATGGTTAGGGGGGTCTTTTACAAACGCTAGCAACGCAGCAATAGAAAATCAAAACAATGGGAAAAATTGCAGAAATGGTGTGGCCAGCTGAGGTTAAATGCGGTCCGGGAGACGTGGCAGTGAAAGGGTTACAATTTAAGCATTTTTTTTTTACCTTAATGCATTTTCTGCATTAGGGTAAATAAAGTAGAAGAAAAGAGGTTTGATAGGAGGCCCTATACAACTAGGGCCTCCTAGTTGTAAATATATTTAAAGAAAAAAAGAAAACAAAAAAAACCCCAAAAGCTTTAATATATTACTTTAAACATCCAACTGGTAGAACTTGATAAAAATGTGAACTGAGGACCAGGTGACAGCCTCCCGGATTTGGGATACTGAAGCCTGATGGTATAGGGCCCAAGAAGCACTGCTTCTAGTAGAGTGTGCCTTGATCAGTAAGGTGGATACACACACACACACACGCACACACACACACGTAACCTTTGGTTCAAAGGCCTGAGCGAAAGTTTAAAGAATCCACCTAGAGATAGTGGAACAAGAAGCCTGTTGCTCTCCCAAGGGGTATCCTTGAGGGAGTCAGACTTGCGAATAAAAGCTGTAGCAGAAAAAAACCTAATTAAAACAGTGGAGAGAAACTTGTTTAGGATGCTTTTGTCCAGGACATAACGATGGCTAAATAATGTCCTTAAGGTAGAAGGTAGTGACCACCTTAGGAGAAAGGAATGTCTCAGCACTACCTTATCCTTGTGGATGACCAGAAAAAGCTCTTTACAAGTCAGTGCCACCAATTAAGAAAACAGACCTAGCAGAAATGATGGTGACAAGAAAGGCCACCTTGCAAGAAAGTGTACAAAAGGCAACTGGTCTCTTGAAGAGAAATCACCAAGGCAGAAATGTTACCGTTGATGGTACTCAAGGCTAAACACTGGTCTAGGCCAGACTGGAGGAAAGTTAAGATGTGTCCCACTGAGTATTTCCTGGGATGGAACTTCCCTCACTTTGCACCAAGTGAAATAAACCTCCAGTTGCAATGGTAGACCTTGGCGGGAGGTCAATTTCCTAGCTTTCAGGAGCATAGGAATGATAGCATCCAAAAAGACCTCTGTCCTTATGGACCAGGGCTTCAACAGCCAGGCTAATAAAGCCAGCATCCAAGAAGCAGGGTGGAATACCAGTCCTTGGGACAGGAGGTCTGGACAATTCAGAAGTGTCCAGAGTCCACATTGAATAGGTCTGTGTACCACAGTCTCCTGGGCCAGTTGGGAGTATTGAGGGTCACCAAAATGCCGTCCGTCTCGATCCAGTGAAAGGCCAAGGAGGAAAGGCATAGTTCAAGCTGAACTGATTCCAGGGAGTCACCAAGACATCTACTTAAAAGACACAAGGATCCCTGATCCTAGTGACAAACATGTCCAGTTTGTTGTTGAACATAGATGCCAGGATGTCAACATTCAGCATCCCCCATGTGTGACAAGGGCCTCCAAACACCACAGGACAAAGCAAGTATTCCAGATTCCAGACGCTGACGACTAAGTCTACCTGCCAATTTTTCATGCCTGGAATGTATACAGCAGACAGGGTGAGGGCGTGAAGTTCTGCCCAAGCCAGAATCAGGTTGATTTCTCAGAGCTGTGCAACTTCTGGTGCCTATCTGATGTTTTATGTAAGCCACAGCCTTGGCAATGACTGGCTACATCCTTGTTGGGTGACCTGTAATTGAGGGGTCCAGCATTGAAGGAACAGCCAAATTGTCCTAGCATATTGTAGATATACTTTGGTACTGGCAGCAAAAGTGGAATATTCAATGTCTTCTTAGCAGGGGGTCCTTTATTGCAGTGTTCCCCAACCCCCGGTCCGCGGATCAAATGGTACCGGGCCGCACAGTCTCAGTGCGGTCCGGTCATGCAATATATTGCAGTGCACGGTCCCGGTGTTCGAACACCGGGGTCCCGCACTGCCGACGGGCTTCACAGTGAGGGGGCGGGTCCTGTGACTCACCTCCCCTCCCGGCCGCGTCTATAGTAACAGGCTGCGGGAGGGGAGGTGAGTCACAGGAGACGGACGTGTGTGTGTGTGTCACACGCCCCGCCCCCTGCAGTGAATGCAAACATCGACACATGGCTGCTGCTCCTGGAAGGGTGAGTCTGAGCGGGGGAAGGGGGTGTCTTACATCATGTCATTAGACGTGGATTATAATGGGGAATATTACACTGTAATGTTCCCTATTATAATCTATTTCTCTGTTGTGTACTGCTATTTTATGTAATTAGACAAATGGATTATAATGGGGAATATTACACTGCAATGTTCCCTATTATAATCTATTTCTCTGTTATGTACTGCTATTTTATGTAATTAGAAAAGTGGATTATAATGGGGAATATTACACTCTAATGTTCCCTATTATAATCTATATCTCTGATGTGTACTGCTATTTTATGTAATTAGACAAATGGATTATAATGGGGAATATTACACTGTAATGTTCCCTATTATAATCTATTTCTGATTAAATGATTACAGGTAGGCATGTGGTCTATCAAAGTTTGAGACTACTTTAGAATGTGTGACCAGTGACGTGGTCACACATTTTAACGTAATCTCGCCCAGTTTTTCGGTGGTGGAATAGGTGAAGAATTCCAACGCTTTCATTTTTTGGTGTAACTGTATTTTATTTTGAAGGCATTTTTAAATACAATTAAAATTATTAAATCAAAACAATCTAAAATATAAACAATCAACGTCCCCCCCTCAGCGGGCCACGGTAAAATTATCAAACTTTGACCGGTCCGCAGCAATAAAAAGGTTGGGGAGCACTGCTTTATTGTACAAATTTTAATGACAATTTCAACTAAAATAATGTACACAATGTTGTTTCATGCAGTTATTTTGCAGGTACCTGTCGATGCTCCAGTTCACTGTCGGATCATCCATCTTGTTAACAAGAACTATTAAATGTTTTACACCAGCTGTTTTTGCCAACATAGCATGCTCTCTGGTCTGACCTCCTTTTTCAAAGCCAGTCTCAAATTCACCTTTCCGTGCAGAAATTACCTGGAATAGAAATACAAGTTAAGAATACACTGATGGAAAACAAAAGATAAAAAGGGGGGACAAAGATAACACAGCACTTGTGGTTACTTTACTATGGATTATATTGCTGCCTACTGGAATCTAGGCAAAACGGTCATCTCCTAACAGGCTGCAACTGTTCCCTCACTAAGCTTGCTCAGTTGTAGCAAGCAGTTGCAAGATCAAAACTACACTAAGTGTAAACAATAAAAACTGCACCAATGGCAACGTGCACATCAAAAAAAAATTAGGAGACGAAGCTGTGTTATTTAATGAAAATCAGAGAAAAGGATTTTACAGTGAGTAGCTAAATGTTTTTTTAAATAGTTCACACAGCACTAGATTCTTTACAATGGGATGTCCACATGCAGATCCTTCAGAGGGACAGTCACACACCAACAACAGCAATATGATTAAATTGTCTCAAATAGGTGTTTACTAGGGATGCACCGATACTAGTATAGGTGCCGAGTATTTGTATTTGAGTACTTGTACTCGCTCAAATGCTCCGATGCCTAGCCCGATACTTCTGGTATCAGGAAGCCGGGCAGCTCGTCATTACACGTTGCCCGGCTTCCTGATTTGTGGGGAAGCCGGCTTCATGCTCCCTCATGACGAGGGAACATGGAGGCAGCTTCCCAGCCAATCAGGAAGCCGGCCGGCGCCTCATTACACAGCGCCCGGCTTCCTGATTGGCCAGAAAGCCGGCTCCATGCTTTCTCGTCAACATGTGACGAGAAGCATGGGGACGGCTTCCCAGCCCAGCGGGAAGCCGGGTGGCGAGTCTTTACACGCCGTCCCGGCTTTCCCGGCTAATCAGGAAGCCAGGTGGTCATTACACGCCACCTGGCTTCCTGAATGGGACTTCTGGTACTCGGTATTGGCGAGTACCGAAAATAAAATATTGGTACTCGATACCAAAATACCGATATCGGTGCATCCCTAGTGTTTACATTGCCTGTAACGGTGCTGAGCTGCTTCCCTTCTGCTATGAAAACACAGGTAGGTAACTTGGCACATAGGCCCTTTAACCCTTTCGCTGCCAAGCCCTCCGGAACATTTTGCAATTTTTCCCATTGATTTGATTTTCAATTGCTGCGTTGCTAGCGTTTGTAAAGGACCCCCCAAACCATATATTTTCTGAAAGCACAGGCCCGGTAGAATAAAAAGACGGTCCTACTAAATTTGTAGGCCCGGCGATAATTGCAGCGCATGTGCATGGCGTACACCACAATATAGTGCACGTGTATGTTATGTGTGTGGGGGGAGCGGGTTTGTGGGTTTTTTTTATTAGTTCATTTTTTTTTTACAGATTTTATTTATTTCTTAATGTTTTTTTAATTTTTAATAATTGTTTTTTTTACTGTTGGGGGGCTTTGGGGAAATACGGGGTCTAAACAGACCCCTGACATTTCCCTTTTGAAATAGAAAAAGAAATTGAGAACACGGAGTCCTCAATTTATTTTTCTGCAGCCTCAGCACTGTGAATGGGAAGCACTTAGTACAGAGTCTTCCCATTCATTCAAAGACTACTGATAGTAAATATTTTACTATCAAGCAATCTCTGAATGGGGAGGAGCCTCTGTAGTGAGTGCTTATCCCCATTGAGGAAAACAGGATGTAAATCACATCCTGTTCATTAATAACTGGGGACACATAGTACTATGTGTCCCCCAGTTATTTGCAAACACTGGAGTGATCGTCTGATCACTCCGGTGTTTGCTCTGCACACAGAGGACCGATAAATATCAATGATATTTACCGATCCTCTGCTAGGTTACGCACACAGCCGCTGTCATCGCATGAAACTGGCAGGATGACAGCGGCTGCTCTCTCCTCCCAGCTCTCACATGCCGCTCGATCATCGTGACAGAGCGGCTCGCCCCCTCG